TTTTTTTGTGTTAATAGGTTCAATGTTGTTGGTGTCTTCCGTAATTACACCAAAATTTATTACTTCTATTATTTAATTATGACCAGTTTTCTTACAAGTTTGCAAATCTTATGTCTTAAAATTGTATAGGCAAACAACGTTGATCTTTACATTAATGGGCACGACCATTGCTTGGAACATATCAGTAGTAGCAAGAGGTAATCTTTAACTTTTGTTTGATTTAACATACATAAAAGTAATATGCAATTCATTTTGCATAAACTGTGTTTTTTTATAATTATTAATGAATTTCATAAACTGTGTTTTTTTATAATTACTAATGAAGAGTGAGACTCTCAACATTGGAAGTGATCTTCCCTGCTTTAATGGTTCAATGGTTATAATGCATGCAGTCTATCCAGATCTATCTTTTAACATATTTGCATTAGTATCCTTGAAAATGATTAATAACCGTAAAGTAAAGTTATTCATGTGAAAACAGCGCTGTTCAGTTTTTGACTAGCGGTGGAGGGTCCAAGGCATGGAGGGGCGATGTTAGTTGGTGGAATCCACAGGAGATGAAATTTTATTATGATGGACAAGGTTTCATGTCGCTGCAAATTACTGAATCCGCTATTGATGTTGTGTTCTATGATGTTTTCGGCGATGTTTTGCACAAATGGAGCACTTTCCAGAGGGTTTATTCTGCGATATAATGAGGGTAACTGTAAGAAGATTTGTATTATCGCTATTTTAAATATTGCAGACCAAAAATTTTTAGTACGGATATTTGTACTGGGAGTATGAATTATATTTGTTTAAATGAAGTTATGTTTGGAATAAAAAAATAATTTAGAAAGAATCTTTTTTTATATTTTTTAATATAATTTTATATATTATTTAAATAATTATTTTTTTATTTATTTGAGATATGTAATATTAAATATATTGACTTATTTAATAATATGTAAAAATTATATAAAAAACTATTTTTATACTACTATACTTTGAAATATTACCAAATTAGCTTATAGTTTGGGAGAAATTTGTTTAAATGAAATTATGTTTGAAATTGATTTTTTAAATATTCCAAGGCAATGGTGGAATCTAATCCATGGTCTCATCCTTTTTCACTTAGAAAGAATCATCTGCTTCTTCTGTGCTGTGTTGTTTTGTTTTTGAATAAGTTTTTGTCTTTTGGTATCTAAAAAATATATAAAATATTACTAATTAAAATTTTTTAAAATATGTAAAATATTAATTAATAAATAAGAAAAATATTGTGTCGAGGGAAAAAAAAATGCCGTGTATGACATTCCCGAGCCGAACCTTTTTCTAACTCACAAATAAGAAAAGAGAAAGAAAGGTGAAAATTTTGTTGGAATTAAAAAAAAAAAAAAAAAGGAATTTTCTTCAATCGAGCCTAGCCCAATACCCCTTCTAAATCCAATAAGAAATCAAATCCTTACAAGCCCAATAATAGTTCCTTACCATTGCCTTTTTCAGATGTCTACGCCTTGACTAATGGGGTGAGCATTCTCATCTAGGTTGGATATAAAATATATTTGATATTTAATTTAAAACTTTTTAGGTATAATTTCTTAAATTTAGTATTTATTTAAATATTCAATTATAACAAGTATTTAACTCAATAGATTTCAAGTAACTTATCGCCATTGGTATATATTTATATATTTAGTTTAGGAAAAGAAAGGGTTCAATATAAAATATTATTGTTATGTGTGTTATGTGTTTGGTTTATAATTTATTATTTATACAAGTTATTATTACTGCATGTATAATTTGTATAACTTATAAAATTTACTTAGCTTTTATTTTTATTTTTTTGTATTTTATTTTTTTAAAAATAATTATTATTATATAAATATTAATTATAAAATATATATATAAAAATTCAATTATATAAGTATAGATAACAAATCAATTAAATAAATCAATTAAATAAGTTGATAAACAATTCTAAACCTTCATATTTCTTAACTTAATACTTATAAATATATTATTTTTATATACATTACTTCTTTTTTTTTTTTACAATCTAAATATAATACTTAATCAAATAATTAAATAAGGTATTTATAAATAACAAGTATATCCGGACCCAATGCCCACTCTATTGATTAGTGTGCCCCAAATAGAAAACCTCCTAAAAACGGTTCCTATATTTAAAATTTTTCATTTTCGTTCGTAAGGTTTTCAAAATGTTCATTTTAGTTTGTCATTGTGGACCGAACCTGCATGGACTTGATTATTACTCTAAAGGGCTTTCGTTTTTTATCACGCTTTTTTTTTTTTTTTTGGAGACTTCTCTTTTATATGGACCTTGTCCATCTGATTTTGTGGCAAGGAGGGGTGAGCATTGGGTATGATTACCTTGTTTGGATAAATATCTTACCTGAATTGTAAAAAATTTGTTGTCCTAGATGGCAACCCAAGAGGGGGAGTGCATTGGGTTCAAAAATTTTATGTAGTTTTCAAAACAAAAGAATGATCAAGCACAAGCAATCAGTAAGTTATTGAAAACCAAAATTCATAAATTAAAAGAGTAGGGTTAGAAATATCAAACGTTTCAATTTTTCCTGCTTCATCACCCTGTTTGGTGTCTACATCCAATTCCCTAGTTTCCTACACTCAAGATTTAAATTACTAACACTAGGTTTAATGGGTGCTAGTAAAATCAATTACAATAGCTTACTGATGCTATCACTCATTTAATCCCCTTGTTACAAATCTCTCAACCCTTTTTTTACATCAAGGATGGGTTCTTATATCTAACGAGGTTTCTCCAATCCCTCTCTTACTTGTTACAATGAAAGATAACAAAAACAAATGGACAAAATAATAGATTTCTCAAAGCATAAGGTAAAAGCTTAATCACTCTTGGTTTTTCAACTTGAAAGCTCTATTTTTCCATGCCTTGTCCATTCTTTCAGATCTGGGTTTATAGCTTGAGAATACTTGATCAATGTTTCATGATCATTGGAGCTCATTTGGAATGAATATATTCCAAATATGGTAGGTAATTCAATGACTCAGCATAAGGGGTTGGAACCTGCCTTCAGGGGTTGGAACTTGAGTGATTTCCTACACAACCTTGGAAAAAATAGATTTATCAAGGGCTCCAAGCCTGATGTCAAATGTTGGAACCTCAACTATAGAATATAGTTTATGTTTTTACTACTTACAACAAAAGGAAATCTATTGAATATATAATCACACAATTAAGTAGGCTTCCACCAAAAAGGAAACATATTCAAAACATAATATTTAGAAATTTATTAAAATCAATCTAATATCAGTAGAAATAAATCCAATATATATTCCAATTCACATTTGGTTTTCAAATCATCAAAATCAAGGATAACATTCTCCCCCTTTTTGACGATGACAAAACCAAATGTGCACATCTAAAATAAGCAATGCATAAAGAGATTGAGTTTAAGAAATCTCCCCCTTAGTCCATGCATTAGTTCATTTGCATTGCACATTTCACTCCTTTTCCCCTTTTTATCATAATAAAAAAGGGAGCTCCATCAAAATCAAGGCTGCTAGTGAACTTTATAAATCATTAGTCCAACATAGTTGACTCAAAACAATAAAGTGCACCAGAATAGATCATAAATAATTACCAGAATGTGAGAAAGGAAAAATAAAGAAACATATTAAATCATAGCTAAAATTTAGTTACTAGAGTTATAACTAGCAAAGATATATATTATGCACAAAAACTTAATAGTTTATAAGTAGAAAAAAAGTAGGGGTAGCAATAAAGTATCCCATGAAGTAGACTGAGTTTAGGCATCAGAGGATGGTGAGGTGGAATGGGATGTGGAGGGTGATGAGATATCCATCTTTTCTTGGATCTTTTGTACTTCATTTCGTAGTTTTTGTAATTCTTTTAGCACTTTTGGCAATGGGTTTGACTCTAGTTCAACATCCTTTAGAGAGTCTTGTATGCTAAAAGTGTCCCTTATTTTTATTTTTCTAGTTCAACACCCAAATTCATCTTTATGAAGCCTATCAACCCAACAGATGTAGCACTAATTTTGTCTTTTATTCCAAATCTAGAAGTTCAGTCACTAGATTACCATATGGTAGTGTAGCACCATCATCCTTTTCCATGATAGATTTCATGTGCCTGATTATGACCTCACTCAAATTGGGTGGATTCTTGGTGACAATTCGATACATCAGCCAAAGGTCCTCTTGTGTGATAGAAGAGTGTTTTTAACTTCTTGAAGTGATGGTATAAGTGATAATCAAATGCAACAATCTTATGTGCAATGGCAATCTATTTATATCAAAGCATTCACAAACTAGAGATTTATCTTGAAAGACTACCTTAGAGGCCTCTATAAAATTGAATTTTTTATCCTCAGCAAAAGTCCCTCTACGTATTGTTTTGCCTATGATTATAGTGATATTTCCTAGATTCACCTCAATATTTTTATCCATCACATAAGTTGAGAATTTGTAGTCTATATCATGCCCCTAGGATATCAAATTAGAATAAAATATCTTGCTAATAAACTAATAATAAGGCCTATTCAAGCTTAAAAATTCTTTCCACTACCATTCTTTAAAAAAATCAAGGAAAGGAAATTCCATACCAGTGAGTAAAACATCATCTGTTTGTCTCCCAAAAAGGACTTTTCAAGTAGCAAACAATTCCCTAAAGTCTGAGGTGGTCTTGTAGGTTTGCCATTTGTGAATCTAAGGCAATCTTGGTAATTTCTAAAATTGGCATGATCAAAGGCCTGGTTCACTGCTTTTTCTTGGTTTGAGGTTATGCTCTGCTCAGTTTCCATTTGTCTTCTCTTTGGTGCAGCCTTAGAGCTTATGATTCTATGTTTGGGAGGCATCGCATGACTTAAGATTGGTGCAACGGTGATGGCTATCGGTTGAACTTTGACAAAGGTGTTGGTGGTTGATGGCCTGAGATCTTCTTAGGTTCTCTTCGGCGAAGCTTCTAATGGTGGTGCTAATGTGAGGTGTGGCAGTTTTAGGGATTTAGCTACACAATGGTGATGATGTGAGGTACAACGAAGCTTCTTGGCTGCTGTTGCTGTTTAAGTTGGATAGGTTGGATAACAGGCTAGATAAGTTAAGACTTGGCCCATGGAAGGTTTTGACTCCTGTAGGAAGGAGCAGAACCCCTGATGTTTCAACCCCCTTTTTGTTGCTTTCAATTTGTAGCTTTGGCATTGACATTTGTTAGTTAAGTTCCAACCCTGGCCTAGATTTTTGAGGATGTGAAGTGTGTGAGTTGTTTTAAATAAAATATCAACCACTACAAGCAATCATATAATATGGAATTTGATCAACATATAGATAAAGTATACATATAATTAACCTTTATTTTACCTGATAGTAGTCTATATATATCTAGTTTAGAGGGTCAGGCATACATAATTCTTGAGTGAGCTTCCAAAATCGATCTTCACTTAAGGGCTTAGTGAAAATATTAGCTAATTGATCATTAGTAGCAACATTAACACCCTTGGGTTCAATTTGGGATAAGAAAGAATAGGTAGCATGAAAATGAAGTTGAGACCTAATAAGTACTCCCTAGTCTATATCTCCTATGATTTGCTCCTTTGGATGGTCCTTCTTAAACTTCCAATCCACTAGTAACTCATGGATCTCAGCATTCTCATCTTCTTATTTAGGTTTTTCTTCTTGCTCTTGTTTACCTTCATTTTTGGGTTGCTCCACTTTATCTCCAAGCTTACCTGCATCATCATCAAAAGTCTCCTTTCTTGAGGTAAGACTTATTTCATCAAAACTACTATGAATGGACTTTTCAACAATTAGGGTCCTTTTGTTATAAACTCTATATGCCTTACTAGTTAAAGAATAGCCAAGAAAAATACCTTCATCGCTTTTTGGATCAAACTTGCTAAGTGAGCTCTTACAATTGTTTAAAATAAAACACTTACATTCGAATGCATGAAAATATGAGATGTTAAGCTTTCTACCCTTCCATAGCTCATATGGGGTCTTATTGAGTATAGGCATAATGAGAACTCTATTTAGAATATAGCAGGAGGTGTTGACAACCTTAGCCCACAAGTAATTGGGCAAATGACCTTCATATAGCATTATTCTTGCCATTTCTTTTAAAGTCCTACTCTCTCTCTCAACAACTCCATTTTGTTGTGGAGGTCTAGGAGAAGAGAAATTATGCTCAATACATGCTCTTCACAAAATGCTTTCATGTCACAATTTTCAAATTCTCCTCCATGATCACTTCTAATGCATGAAATCATAAAACATTTTCCTTTTTGCACTTTCTTGCAAAAGTTTGAAAACTCATGGAAGGTATCATTTTTATGTGCAAGAAATAATGTCCATGTGAATCTAGTGTAATCATCAATAATGACCAAGGTATACCTCTTACCACTCAAGCTGTAAGTGTCATTAGGACCAAATAGATCTAAATGCAATAGTTGTAATGACTAAGATTTACCTCATGGAGGGTATCATTTTTATGCAATAATGTTATTAGGACCAAATAGATCTAAATGCAATTGTTGCAAAAGTTTGAAAACTCATGGAAGGTATCATTTTTATGTGCAAGAAACAATGTCCTTGTGAATTTAGTGTAATCTTCAACAATAACCAAGGTATATCTCTTACCACTTAAGTTGTAAGTGTCATTAGGACCAAATAGATTTAAATGCAATAGTTGCAAAAGTTTGAAAACTCATGGAAGGTATCATTTTTATGTGCAAGAAACAATGTCCTTGTGAATCTAGTGTAATCTTCAACAATGACCAAGGTATACCTCTTACCACTTAAGTTGTAAGTGTCATTAGGACCAAATAGATTTAAATGCAATAGTTGCAATGGCCTATTAGTTGAAACAATATTCTTGGATTTAAATGATTCCTTGGTTTGTTTCCATTGTTGACAAGCATCACACACCTTGTCCTTGTTAAAGGAAAGATTTGGCAAGCCATCAACTAAGTTCTCCTTACCAAGTTTCAATATTAAATCCATGGAAATATGACCGAACCTTCTATGTCAAAACCAACTATCAACATTGTTATTTTAAGCTATTAAGCACTTAACATTGAAAGAAGACAAATCATCAAGGCTAATTTTGTAGATGTTTCCTTGTCTTTTACCAATGAACTTGATTTGGTCATTTTTTAGATCAACTACTTTACATGCATGTGATTCAAAGATGTTTCAAAAACCTTTGTCACACAATTGACTAATACTCAACAAGTTATGCTTCAACCCATCAACTAACCACACATTGTCAATGGAAGAAGAAGTATTCTTACCCACATTTCCCATTCCAAGAATGCATCCTTTCACCTTGTCTCCAAATGTTACAATGCCCCCTTCCTTATCTTTAAAAGTGAGGAATTGAAATCTATCACCACTCATGTGTCTTGAACACCCACAGTACCATTTGATATTACTTTTCTTCTTTCTTTTTTTTTCCTTGAAGCATTATTGCAAACACAAGCTTAAAAAGTTAGCTTTGGTACCCAAATTTTCTTGGGTCCATGAATGTTAATCAAGGTTGGTATGGATCCTTTTGGAACCCATATCCATCTAGGTTCATTTGATGCACCCCATTTTGTAAAGCATCTAGAAACATGATGGCCTTTCCTACAACAATAATGGCATGTTATAGTATATCTCCTTGAGTGCTTGATTTTCCACCTTGATTTTCAAAGCTAGTATACGAGTCACAACTAGCCTTCACAAATTTGGTGGTATATGTGTTAAATCCACTTGATCCCTTATACCTAAGACTAGTTTTAATGCTATTATTTCTTTGAGCATCCAAAATGGTTTGGAGTTTATTGCTTCCCTTAGTGAGTTTTGAAATTGTGTTGTTTAGATCTTTGTTTTTCTTTTCAAACTCATTACATTTTGAAATTAGTACATTTCTTTCCTTTTCAAAAGATTCACTTTGAGTGTCTAAAACCTTTCTCAAACTTGTGTTGTCATTTCTCAAGGAATCGACAATTTTGTGCAAATCATTCTTCTTAAGAAGAGCATTTTCAATAAGTCATCAAAGGATTTTTGAAGCTCTTCCTTTTTTAGGGTAGCTTCATTAAAAGCTTTTTGTAAATCTTCTTTTTCATTTAAAAGAGCGGTATTGGTCTTTTTGAGGCTAGCATTTTTTGCACTCATGTTTCTAGATGCCTCATAAAGTTCATCAAATGCATCTTGTAATTCTTTTAAAGAATTAAACTCATCATTAGGTATGGATTGAGAGCCTACCTCTTCAGTGTCTTCTTCTCTGGCCATGAGACACAAATTTGCCATTTCCAAATCACTTAATTCCTCATCTGAGCTATCATCACTCCAAGTTGTCACTAAGGCTTTCTTACACTTTTTTTCTTTACTTTGAAAGTCTTTTCATTGCCAAAAGGGCAGTTGAATTTAACATGTCCAGGCTTCTTATAACGGGCTTCTTGTAACAATAGCATATGATTTCATCCTTCTTGTTCAAATCCCCCTTGTATTTATCATTCCTATTGTTCCTTTTTAAGCCTTTGTGCTTCTTGAAACTTTCTTTCTTTAGACCCCTTTTAAATTTCTTGGTAAGCATTAAAATATCCTCATCTAAGTCACCTTCCTCCTCACTTCCAATGTGTTGAATTGCTTTGAGTGCAATCATCTTTTTCTTTTTATTCTCCTCCTCATTATCATAATCCTTTATAGCCATCTCATGAGTGAGAAGTTTCCCTTGAAACACCTTAATTGTCATATGACTCAAGTAGTGAGCTTCTTCAATGGTCATACGGATGTTACTTTAAGCCTTGGGGAGTGATATTAGGATCTTTCTCACCTTCTACTCCTACAAGTATGCCTTATCAAAGTAAACAAGCTCATTAGTGATTTTTGTAAATTGAGTAAACATGGACTTAATATCTTCATTTGGGTTCATTTTGAAAAGTTCATATTGTTGGACAAGTCTATTCATTTTGCTATTTCGTGCTTCGTTAATGCCTTCATAAGCAACTTCTAGTTTGTCCCAAATTTCCTTAGCACCCATACAAGCACTAATGCAATCAAACTCAAATGGCTTTAAAGCATAGTATAATGTAATTATAGCCTTGGCATTTAATTGAATTTTTTCTTTATCATTTTTGTCAAATTCTTCAAGTTTCTTCAAAATCATCAATTTCGACTCTTCACTCTTTCTCTTCATTGGAACAAAAGGACCAAACCTGAAACTACCTCCCACATTAGGTAATCTAATCCTTGCATATAGACCCTCGTCCTATTCTTCCAATGGGCATAGTTTGTGTCACATCCCAGAACCCAAATCCGAGGCGTAACAAACGCCGTGCACTCGTGAGAGGGTCCCACAAATGCACAAGGCTCAGAACTTATCCAAATCACAAACTCTATTCTCGCAAAATCTGTTTTAATACCATAAAATTCAAGGTACAATCTATCTTCCCAAAATGATAATATATTCCATAAATCTATGTCCAACATGACTTAAACTCAAAATAATGAATCAACTTACAAGGACAATCTAAACTCAAAATCTATATCCAAATGCAATAGCTAGCCAATTAGCTCGTCACTCCCCTTGATTTCCGTGTCGCGGGTCATACTACCTGAAATGGTGGACAAGGAAAAACTATGAGATAAACTCAGCAAGTAAAATATGGAGTGCCCTTAATTAAACTTGTAGCATGCCACCAGTATAATAAAAACGGATACAGTACGGAAAAGAAATAGACGTCTCCTCTATAGGTCATGACCAGTGTTTAAACCTCCCACTGGCAGGCTACAGTATTTGCTGGTGTTTAACCCCCACTAGCAAGGTCATTCGGACGAACCGGTTCTATCATTAACATGTCAACATGTGCTAGCGTTTAACCCCCACTAGCAGGATCATCAATAACATAACCACATCAGAGACAAAACAGGCAAAAGTTAACAGAAAAATCATAATTCACCAATCACTTTCAAATCATCAGGACAATCAATTAAATTCCAAGTAGGCATGCTCAATTTAATGAAAAACATAAAAATTTCACTTCAAATCAATCATGCTCGTGTAAAACGGGTTTAGTCCCGCCACCACTTCAAAAACAAATCAAAACATGCTTTTAAAAACTATACGGGCATTACCATAAATTTACTTACCTCACTCGCTTAAAACCAAAGGCACAATCTTAGTACTAAATTGACAGAACGATCAGGAACCTAATTCAAAACATCCAAAAGTTAATACCCATATAACACTACAAACTTAATCCTTTTTCTATTGTTCCCGACCAATTCTCAAAATGCAATATTTATTACTTTTATTTTATTTATTTTCATTACCCAAATTGTGTATATATATATATATTTATATACACATTCATATATAATTTTCTACTCCCACGGACAGAACAAAATAGGAGAATAGGACTTTATTTCATTTAATCCTATTTAGCAAAACAATAGCAAATCACGGGATTTTTCTCCAAGAAACGCAACAGCCCAAATCAACTAATCCAACATAAATTAAGCTAAAAACATGTCAAAAAGGCTACCAAATTCCCCCCATATTCCAGCAGATTTCGGACAACCCATGGGCAGCACATGGAGGAATCAGCCTTGGCAAAACAATGGAAATTCATGGGATTTCCACAATTAACCTCACAACAATCAACTCAAGCTAGTTTCTACATGAATTAAACAAAACTCATGCTTGGAGGCTGTCGAATTATTCCATATTTCTGCAGAAATTCGGACAGCACAACAAGGGTTTTCGGACAACACATGGCAGCAACAAATTGATAAAATTTCAAGCTTGGAAGGTTGTTAACTTACCAGAATCTTTCCAGCAATAGAAGCCGGATCTGGCGAGCTTGGCAGAAATCGGGAAAGGGGAAGGGATGTCACGGGAGCTACCAAAATTGAAGGAACAAGATGAAATTAGAGTAAACCCAACCTAATTCAAGGTTAAAGAGATGGATTCATGGCTGAATCTTACCAGAAAACCGAACCCAACCCCACACAGCAGAGGCCGGCGGACAAAGGGGAAGAAGACAGCGCAGATCTGGAAAATTTCTGGGTTTAGGAGAGTGTTCTAGGCCTGAAACTTGGTTTTTGAGCAAGAAGGAAAGGGAAGTTTCAAGCATTTCATCGGTTCTCAAAAGAAGAGGGAGTCGGTGGCTTTTGCGGGGGGGGGGGGCGGCTGGTCGGGCTGCACGAAGAAGAAGAGCAGAGCAGAAACGTGTATGGCTGGGAAGAAAAGGAATAAAAAATATCAGATGATCCTTATCCTAATTTCCTTTCTTCTTAGTCCCTGAACTTTGAAAACTTTTGCCATTAAGTTCATTAATAGTATTTCTTCACAATTAGGTCCCTAACTCACACTTTAATGCTCTAGAAATTTTGGGGTATTATAGTTTGTTCCATTACAGAGAGGAAGACAAGTGGTTGATTGTCCTTCAAAAAACAAGAAGGTTTGAGTTGCCATTATCAAAACTCAATAAAATGATTGGAATTTTAGAACAAACCTTTGAGCCGAGGCTCTAATATCAATCGTTGTCCCAGATGGCAACCCTAGAAAGGGGTGAATTGGGTTCAAAAACTTTATGTTGTTTTCAAAACAAAACAATGATCAAGTACAGGTAATCAGTAAGTTATTGAAAACTAAAATTCATAAATTAAAAGAGTAGGATTAGAAATATCAAACGCTTTTATTTATCCTGGTTCATCACCCTCTTTGGTGCCTACATCCAGTCCCTGAGTTTCCTACGTTCAGGATTTAATTCACTAACACTAGCTTCAACAGGTGCTAGTGAAACCGATTATAATAGCTTGCTGGTGCTATCAACTATTTAATCCCCTTATTATAAATCTCTCAACCCTTCCTATACCTTAAGGATGGATTCCTAGATCTAACAAGGTTTCCCTAATCCCTCTCTCACTTGTTACAATGAAAGAGAATAAAAACAAATGGTGAAAATAATAGATTTCTCAAAGCACAAAGTAGAAGTTTAATCACTCTTGGTTTTTCAACTTAAAAGCTTTGTTTTTTCATGCCTTCTCCATTCTTCCGAATCTAGTTTTATAGCTTGAAAATACTCAACCAATGTTTCATGATCATTGGAGCTCATTTGGAATGAATATATTCCAAATATGGTAGGTAATTTAATGTCTCAACATAAAAGGTTGTAATTTGCCTTCAAGGGTTGAAACCTGAGCAATTTTTTGCATTACCTTACAAAAAACAAATTTATCAAAGGTTCTGGATTCTATGTCGGGGGTTGCAACCTCAACCATAGAATGTAGTTTTTGTTTTTGCTACTCACAACAAAAGGAAATATATTGAATATATAATCACACAATTAAATAGGCTTCCGCCAAAAAAGAAATATATTCAAAACATAATATTTGGAAATTTATTAAAATCAATCTAATATCACTAGAAATAAATCAAGTATATATTCCAATTCACAAATAAATTAAGAAAATATT